TTTAAGCATTGCATTCTAGTACCATCTAGATCATGCAAACGTCAGTTTGAACACTATTAGACGCTCATATTTATTAAAAAAAAAAATCCAAACCACAGTATAAATCGAGACGCTCGACCATTGCATAGCATTTAGGTGCTATCTAGACCATTTCTAAGAACACTGATATTTATATAAGGATAATGTGCATTTCGAATTGAGGTAACATCACATTTCCAAGATTTAGTCAGCTATAAAAAAATTCCACTTTCACGAACAATTTCCTATGATTTCTGAAACTTGTTTGCTATAGTAGGATATCCTTCTTTTTTCTTGAGAAAATTGTAAAATTTTTATTCGAATCAAAAACTCTTAATTAACACGGGCAGACATGTAGCAAATTTAAAAATTTAATCATCAAGATTGGTTTGGTCAACATAGTGTATCATCAATATTCTCTAATATATGCACTTTGCCTAATATATGACATTAACATATTTCGACGTAACATGATACACTTGACATTTTGATATTTTTTTAAGTTTCAAAAAAATGATACACTTGACTTTTAAGTAAAAAGAGCATATTTTTATTATCAGTGTTCTAAAATATGCTAGACGTTTATTAGGCGGCGAAGAGGGTCTAGCGCCTAGCCGTATACGCGGGAGTATAGGCGGGGTCTGGACGGATAATTATTTTATATATATATATATACGTATAAGGATAAATATATATATATATAATACATTTTATATACAATGAATAAAACATGGATATATTTTATATTTAGAAATATTTAGAAATGAAAAGTCTCAAATATTAAATTTAGTAAATTCTTATGTAAAAGAACATGTAATTTTAAATATATATATATAAGTATATAACCTTAATGTAAATTAAAAGTCTTATAAATATATACAGATATAAAAGATATAATGTCTAAATTTATTCAAAATGAATTTAACTAATAGATTTAATCATTAGAGGCTCAAATAAATATTGATTATGATAAACAATTTTATTTTACAATATAATAAAAAAATTGTGATTTTTTCTTTAATTTTTATATGGCCGCCTAATATCCGCGTAGGCCGCGTAATCATCCGCCTAGACCGCGTAAATGTTCGCCTAGACCGCATAAAAATCCGTATTTTTAAGAACCGCATAAATCACCGAATACCCTAAAATTGGAGCGCCCGACATCCGCGTAGCTCCTGGACGCCGTCTAAACACCCACCTAGACCGTGTTTTCGAACACTCAGTAGCTAAACTCAATCTTGCTTAAAACCCAACTTTTGTCACAATGTATATTATCATGTACCCAAGTTCCACTCCATGACCACCGGATCCGTAATGCTTTTTTATTATCATTGGTTCCACAATGCTTTTTTAGGTGCCTCTTCTATATATTATCATGTACTCAACTTCCACT